TCCAATAACATGCATGGGGAGCCTGAGGGCCTACCTGAGGTCCTCAGGGCTGGATAAAAAAGTTCGAATTCCAACCATGACATATTAGGGTTTAAGGTTTAGGGTTCAGGGTTTGGGCTTTAGGGTTTGATCTAGAGTGTATATGGACAACATAGACAATTAAGGATGCAGATGACATCACTGCCCAACTAAGGCAAGATGCTGCTCCCCCGCATGTCAGGATTGTTTATAAACTTGGAGCCCAAGGGTTGCATCAGCAAGTCACAACTGCACCTTCTCTTACCAGTCAACCTCGCAACACTGCAGCACAAAAAAACACATGCTTGCATGTCAGCCTTTCGAAATACCCCATGACAACCAGTCCGTAACGTCTTCAAACGGTACCTACTTTGGGCTATTACCCTAATCCCTAAACCCCATAACCCTAATTTGGAGCCCTAGGGTCATTATAGAAGGGCCCGCACAGGGGCGAACGCACAATTGTGAGAAACCTCAAGTATAGGAATCCTGCACCAAGAAATCTTCGCTGCTCAGGGCACCTTGGTGCCGAAATGATTAGGGTTTAAGGTTTAGGGTTTGAACAGGGTTTTGGGGCATGTTATACTCTGGCATTACAATGACTACAAAAGGATACTCGTGGTCATGAATCAGGCGTCTCATGCAGTACCACAACTCATACATCCTAACCCTAAAGGCTGTTCCTCAAACCCCAAACCCTGAAACCTCATGTCAGCAAAATCTCAGCCGACCTTTAAAAAGGTCAGAGGATCCGGGAAGCAGATCCTTCTTTGAGGGATTCTAGGATTTAGGGTTTAGGGTTTAGGGTAAAGGGTTTAGGGTTTGGGTTACGCAGAGGCTAGTGCTTGCGGGTTGTTACTTTTCACAGTTCAGTCCCACAAGGCCTGAGACACCACAAATGCAACATACTCTGGAATATGTATACTATAGCTCCTAGTATTCCCCTCAATAATCCCCATAGCAGTCCCCTATATCACCCCCTTAAGGAGTCTACACTATGGTACATGTAGTCCTAGGTCTGGACGCTCGAGTCCTAACCCCTGAGCTGCTTGTTGTCAGAAGTATGGACACCTTCGTTCAAGCATTTCTTGCCGCTGGTTGTTGACAAGGAACGGAGACATGAAACAAAATGGAGACTACGATATTAGTGAGGGATTGTATGACACATGAATTTTACATGGTCCCCGCAATTGGACACCCAACATGCGCACTCACCTGTCTTCCTAAGGAACGCCATGTAACAAGAAATGTATTTCACAAAAAGGGCTATGGTGCGGGTCCATTCCTCCATCTTCCACAGCAGAATAGCCCTAAACCCGTTACCCTAAACCCTTAGCCCTAAAACCTAAACCCTAGAATCCCTCACGGAAGGCACGGAAGGATCTGCTGCAATCACAAGAGGTCCGGTAGGCTCGCCTGCTCAGACCGAACAACTACCTTGAAGCTCCCGGGACCACAACAGCCCCAAAGGGTCCAAGTACCCAATAATTGAGGACTTGGGTTTTGGGTAATTATTAGTAATTGTGATACAGGTTTTGGGGAAGTATATGATTATCAGGTACCCCTAAACCCTCAACAACCCCATGGCTTTAGATACCAGATGCTAGAATCTCATTCAGGGTCTAAATTCGGGTTTAGGTTGTAATTCCTCCAGCCCCCCCCCCCTTACATTCCACCAACCTAAGGTTCCACTTTACTGAGCCTTCAGTAAGGGGGAACCTTAGGGGCGGGTAGTCTAGAAGGGAATGGTTATGTAATGCATCAACAGCTGGTATGTGAAACCATATGACAACGACAAGACTGCTGAGCTTGCGATCTCGAACTTTGCACTTCTCCTCTTGGGATACCAGCAGATCTTCTCGAGCAGCTGCTTCCTCTGACTTTCCCCTGTCTAGGCTGACGCTGGAAAAGGCAAGGCGGAACAAAGCGCCCTAGATCCCATCCCAAAAGGTCATGTAGCCATACAGTATTTACTTGGGCCCAATTAGTTAGATGGGAACCCTTTTTGGCCGCATGTACCAACTATATACCTACATGGACCCTTTGGGTATTCTGCTCTAGCTGAACGATGATAGCGCGAAGCAGATGAGGCATCGGTATGCAGAGAGCAATTGATGCTTTAAGGCGCATCCTACAAACTAACGCGCAAACATTCATGAGACCCTAACCGCTCAAGCTCAGTCATGCAACCAAACACTTCAGACCGGCGAAAGCAGAGATCATCAGTAGGGCTACCAGGCACGTAACATCATGCGCATTTGCTGACAGCCCTGCTGAAAGAAAGGAGCTGCTCAACATACTCTCGATTCTGACAAACGATACTTGCAACACAAACTCTCCACACAGAACCCTTAGTGCCCCATATAAGCTATAGTCTAAACTCTTCGTATACTCTTAATAACGCTATAGTAGTCCCCTAGACGGTCCCCTATATAACCCCCGTTAAGGAGTTTAGACTATAGCTCATATACTGTTCTGCTCTTAAACTGCAGAGTGAAGTCTGAGGGTTTGGCCGAAGTTGCCACCGAGAGAATACC